AGCGACGGCTGGTAGTAAGGCTATTTCTGCAGTGAGCTGTCAGGGCAGAGCTGCATTTAGAGGCATGTTTGTCCCCAGCAGTTTTCACTCAGTCCTACATTAGATTCTGGTATGACATGTGATCTGTGGTCCTCTCGGTGGAAATTTCTTAAGAGGCAAAATCTGACTGTCTTAATATCAGTGTTAGTCACTGCACACAAATAAAAACTGTTCATTATAAATTGAATGGAGATTCGTAGCTGTTCAGAGCATGTTAAAGCTAAACCAGTGTGGATTATAAAATGTATCCACATCACCACAAACAATCTTACATAATTATTTCCTTTAAATAATGGAAGTTACAAGTGCACTAAATAATCCACCTCATAATCCAGGGGTGTGAATAATCAAGGGGGCTACAAAACGGTGTGACCCTTTCCTCTACAGACTATGGCCACTCCGGCTGCAGCTGGGTGGGTGGTCTCAGCAGAATACAACACACCAGCAGTATTTACCAAGTGACTGGTTGTGAAGGTGTTAGACTGAAGCAGGGGTCTGGCATTTGTGAGCATCCGGTGTGTCTGTTGCATTTAAATGTTACTTATAGTAAGTTAACTAGGTGCTGCTATATTAAAGATAGACTGAAAAAAATGAAATACAATGGTCTCCAAATCGTTGTAGTGTCTTAAACATTCAGTACAACCCTGCTGTTCACAATTTGCTTGAAACATCCATAAAACAGGAAAAAGAGTTTAACACTGCACCTCAGGTGTCCAGACAACTGAGCTTCATAAACTCAGCCAAGGTTTGGAGAATATCCATAGCTTATTTTCCATGTCTGATGAATGCAAGCTTAAATGGAACGTTTATAAGAAAACAAACTGAGTAAGAGAAGATTCAGCTACATAGAGGTGGTGGATTTTAGTCATAACTGGGCATCTTGGTGGTGTATTGTAGATTTCGTTAAATGTTGCTTTCCTTGAAGTTCTTGTCCTCCTAATTTGTCTACAGTCTATCAGCAACAGACTGATTTACTGTGCACAGTGAGGGTGGTCTGACCCCAAGACTGTTCAGACATGGAGTTGAACAGTTGACTTACACTGGGAATAAAATCTGTTTCACAGTTTTACTTGGTAAGTATATATATGATGAGCCAGAAGTCAGCATGGGTGAATGTTTACAACTAAAGAATAAGCATCACAAGTGTGTGTGACAAATGCATGAGACCATGACCTTTCATAAAGAATGAATGAAGCACTGACTCTATGAACATAAGTTGTGGGTCATGTAATACGACGGCAGCTCCAGTTCATAGATGTTCTGTTGACTTTAGTGATGTGTCGCTTCCCCTGGTCTTTTCGTGATTCAGACAGAGGTTCAGTCCTGATTTTTCTTCTACACTGGACAAGTTAAGACAGTTTTCCAAATATTATGTTAACGTTCTGTGAAAACCTGTGAACATTTCTGCTTTTGGTAGAGGCAGGCTGCCTCTGAGCTTCTTGACAGCCTTCTGACAAGGGAGTGTGTGGCCAAGTGTGTTTCAAAGTGATTTATTACTGAGAATAACACAGAGCTCTGTGTCAGTCCATTACAACATCCCATCTACACTGGTAGTGGCCTGAGAACCTGTTTGGGTTGGCTGATGAAATTATTTGATAAACCTCCCTCATGTAATATTTACATTATTAGCATATCCCACATAAATATTCATTGAACTAAGTCTACAGTTTGACTTTGTAGCAGCATGACATGACCTCTTGTGGCCACAGGTGATATGGGGTATATTTTTGATATAGACGTAGCTTCAAAATAATAAGTTGCTGGACCAGCCAAACTACTTACAAAAGCGCAACTTATAATCCAGAAAATACAGCAAAAAATTGGTTGGAATTGGACTGTCGATCGTTGTTCCGTTTCTGTGTTGAGATCAGAAAGGAAGCCTGTAGCATAATCCTTCTTCTTGACCCGTGGACTTAAACTGACAAGGGCTATATTGTTTATACTTGTAGACTGTTTAAACAAAAAAGAATCCAATAATGTGTACTTGTATGTGTTTGTGGGAAAAGTCCCACAAGGTCTTTTGGTTTTTATGTTGTCTGCCTTGCGACCCACCACACAGACTGACAATTTATGTAGCCGACGACAGCTTCCCCTGATCATGTGCCAGGGCTCGGTGGGGGCAAGACTTGAGAGCAACGGCAGCACCACTGGCAGTTTATCAAAAACCCAGGAAAAATCTCATTAGGGCTGTGGCTGGATGCCTCCTGCTTTGCTCTTTACTCACTGTGAGAAAACACCTTCAGGACTGCGACACTTAGAGCTGTGGTACCCACATTAAGTGGAGGAAGAAAAAAAAAAAACTAAAGCAACAGCCTTTAGGCCTTGTGCAAGACAAGACAGTGAGAGGGAGACAGGAGGGGTTGCTGAGAAAGCAACTGTGTTGAACTAGTGTTACGGCTGTACATAATGCAGCATTGCCACATCACAACAGCAATACTGTTATGTTAGGTTGATGAGCTTTTAAAGTATTTCCGGGCATACTTTACACTTTTTCCTCTTCTGGGTTTATTTTTTCTCTGCCAACAATAGTAATTACACCACATAAGCAATGGGTGTGTTTTGATGATCTTGATGGCTTTATGAAGTGGGAATTGAACTTGGACCATGGAATATGGTATGGAATATTATACATCATGAATAAATGTCATTACTTCATTACTTTTGGTAGCCTTGTAAGTTCCCTCTGCAGCATTAGGAGCAGGGAGTTCACCTGGGTGCAGGATAATGGCCCATTATGTCTGCCGATTATCAAGTTGATATTATATTTGCCTAACGATTAAAATTATTTAATAGCTGTAAATGACCTAAAGGCAGAGAAAAACTCTCAGTGGACTTGAAGGGAGATATCTCCATCCCTCTATCCAAACAGTAAACTGAGATCCTCTAAAGGCAGCTTTAAATGACAGCTCCTTGAATCATCCTTGAATCAGGAACTGAACCTGCTCAAATCCTGCTGTATGTGGCAAGTGACTTGGCCCGTCAGCTATAATCTGACTGCAGTTTAAACATGGCTCCTGCTTTTTGTAGATCTTTCACCTTCCAAAAGCATTTAATAGCTCCATTCAAAGCGTTGTGCAGCAGTAAAACATGATGCCCAGAGATGGAGCCAAGATAGAGGGTGTTGATGTGAGGAAGTGAAGCGCTGTGCTGCCTCTGAGTTAAGCTTCAAAGGGATCCGTTTTCACAGATGAAATAAAGATCTCAGATAATCCTATAACATAGCCAAGCTGTAATGAGAGGAACCAGTTTACACAGGAGAGTTAATGTGACCAAATTTAAGACAACACCCACACACTGAAAAATAAGTTAAATGCACACTTGTGCATTTTGCAGGAGTTAAGCAGGAAAAAATGTATTATTTTTTTATTAACAGACTATGTTTGTTACATGATCAATGCAGGTATTTAATATGGTTTCACATTATGTCAGAGCTTTGGAATAAAACAACATGGATAAAGCTGATATTATGGGATTTACAGAGATTTACAGAAGGAAGTTTTTTCAGTTTTGTTTAAATGCCTTAAACTCAGCACATTTGTAGAGGTCACAATTTGTAAATCCTTGTTAAGCCTCTTATATGCATCATTAGCATAAAAGACACTTCCTCGTATATAGTGAAAGTCTAAGGTGTGTCAGATTCGGTGCATTATTTATTATACAGCTATAAGCCACAAGATTGTCGACTCAGTAGTTTAGAAGATAGGTATATATTTGCTTAAACTGTAACCAACATTTACCTTTGTTATTAAATCTGAGGGCCCCACGTCTGACACACATCAGTCACAGCTCTCCTATATCTCTTCCTAAATCCCACCAAGGAAATCATAGCCACAGAGATGGGGTTCATCACCAGGTAGGTCTGAGGAAACCTCTCTGGGATTGAAGAGTGCATCGGCAGCAAAATCAAGACTGGAGTGGCAGAGAAAGCTCCACGTGACAGTGGGCTCACTGTTATTACACCATGATACATGTCCTGAAGGGATTTTTCACACCAACACAACAAGAGCACAGGAGGATTTAAGAGACAACATTTAAGCAGGGAAATGTGCACCAAGCACTTTATATTAAATCAAATTACATAATGTGTTTTGCTGTAAATATTAGCCCCATGACATCTGTGGATGAAATGCTTCAAAGACTTGAAACAGGGTGATGTTGCTAACGCATGAAACATTCCACATGTGTTGTTTACTCTCAGAATTCACTTGCCGTGGTTTGGACAGGAGTAGTGTACACTGTGAAAGCATGCTTTTCTTTTGTGTTTTCTCCAGGTTAACACTGCAAACACTGCTGCTTACATTACCTCACACACATCAAAGGTTGCCTTCTGAAACCCCCAGTGGATTATTGGGCAAAATGTACAGCCTTCATCCCTCTTCGTTAGAAACATGCTGATCCAAAGTAATCTTCCGCCCCCTCATTCCTTTTTTGTATTCATGCCAGAAGTTGGCCAACACTTTAACGACCCATTTACAAAACTTTTACACCTGCAAAGATAAGGTTTTTACAACTCAGCCAACCCCTTTGGCACAGAAACCACCAGTTAGTGCAAGTTACAGCATTTATTAGCATCTGAGAAATACGTAACCAAAGCACTTTACTTTTATCACACTGTTTACCTAAGGCTTATCCCACCAATAAGAATAAGGAATGCATACAAGGTGTCAAGATCAAGAGTAATGCTGCATGTCCCCCCTGTGGCTGATTAGAGACAGTTTTTGCTTTCACCTGTCTCTCTTAAATTAAGACATTTAACAC